TTATATGCAGTTTTAAGATTCTCTCTGTTAGTAAGGTCCCCGTCCCTTCTTTGCTGCTTAAGCTTCAAATTCCCTCCAAGAACTGCAAAATGCTTTCGGGGAATTTGTCTCTCATGCCCACCTATGCATTCAGATCTAGAAGATCAAATAAAGGTTGTGACTTAAGATTGAAGCAAGAAAATGATACAAACTAGGAGAGAGAGATGGTAATAGTTGGCTCCAGTTAAAAACTTCTCTTTTGCAATCTCGTTATAAGTAACTAAACAGCCACTCTACATATGCTATGGTCAAATCATTCTACCAAAAAGAAACCAGCTTGGTTGCCCATCTTTTGCATGGAATGTACATTCTATCAATCTTATTTTCTTCATTCATTGGTTTCAAATTTGATGGGAGATATGTGATGTTGTTGCAAAACCGCATCTTTCCTGCAATTTGGTTGAAAACGCATATTTGCATAGATGAACAGAATTATCATCATTGCTTGGTCAATCTTCTATCCTGCTTGATAATGAGTGCAGACAAAAGCGAAGGAACTCCAAATTCTAGTGACAATCTCACATAAAGGCATGCAAAGTGATTACAATCCCTCATTGTTATCACCAATAGAAATCAACAATAAGGAAAAACTGAAGCCATTTGTAACAGTAAGAAAACAATGCTCTAAGTTAGTGAGAGATTTAAACCAGGATTACAAAGTACAAACCTTCCAAGTTCTTCCTCTTTCTCAATCCTCGAACTATGGTTTTGTCGCAATTTTCTGCTCCGCCAGCACTGCTTGGGCCAACACAATCTCCTTCTAATGTACCACTATGCTTGAACTGTTCAAGAACAACTTTCTCAACAACAGAATTCAAGTCTGCTGCCCCTCCTTTCTTTGCCTCAGCTTGCTCATCAATGGACCCACCACCGCTCTCTCTCGGTCCCAACAAAGACGAAAAGGGTTTTGATTTCCCCTGCCCATAATGACACCAAGTCAATCCTAAATTACAAACTAAAAAACTAGAGGATACTTAACAAGTAAATCATCCAGATGGTCCAGTCAAATGTTGAAATTCTATTTATATAAAAAAATAAAAACTCTACCGTTGACCTTGAGCTTTTTTTTTTCTTCTTTTTTTCTGCGTGCTCTGAAAAAATAATGATCATTAGTGCCATTCCGTCCCTAATCTCCTTCATCTAGAGGAGAAATTCCTAGATTCACTAATGGCGCGGTAAAGACTTAGACACGATTCTACTCAAAGAATCAGCTCAATTTCACTGCCACAAGCCGACATCGTTAACCAAGCAAAAACCTCAAAACGGGGCTCTAGAGTATCGAACCTTAAACCCATCCCGAGAGAGGAGAAAAAGAAAAAATCCAAACCATCGCACCACTCCATTAGTGATCCACCGCGAGCTTATTGAAAAAACGATGATTTGGCTTAAGTCAAGGTGCCAGAAAATTGCTTGACATTTCCATAAACAAACAATATTGAAAACTGATTCAGCATTTTTCCCCCTTTTTCTTAGTTAACATTTGTTATCGTTTAAAGCCAAGATAGCCTAAACGCTGAAGTCTGAA